CACTCCTGGGGATTGAACCCAGGGCCTTGGTATTGAGCTACATCCACAGTCCTTCATTTACATTTTTTTTTCATTTTAAAATTTTGAGACAGTATCTCTCTAAGTTGTCTAGGGTGGGCTCAAACTTGTGATCCTCCTGCCTCAGCCTCCCAGAGTGCTATTAGTACAGGCATGTGGCACCATACCTGGCAGCAAATGATGCATTTTACAATAATGGAATCAAGGGGTGGGGAAGATAGCTCAGTAGAATAAGCGCTTGCCAGGCAGGCGCTTGAATTGATTGAATCCTGAGTTCAATCCCCGGTCCCACAAAAAAAAAAAATAATAATAATAATGGAATCAGACTATTTACATTCTTCTATACTACTTGTGTTTTGTAAGATCTTTTTATGTCATATACAGAAATATTCTTTTCAAATTAGATTTTATTGCTGCATTTTTCAATAGACGTAACGATCACATTCATCATAGAAAATTTACCTGGGGCCGGCAAGATAGCTCATTGATCTAAAGTGGCTGCTTAGGTAAGTTTAGGCAAAGTTTAGGCAAGTGCAGGGGACCTGGTTCAATCCTTGGCGCCACATGGCACACCAACCCCACCCTCAGGGCAGGTTAAGCTGGCAAAAAAAAAATTGTACCTGTATGTGATAGAACTTGCTTTTTTCCCATTCCCTTATCCTCCAACCTCTTTCCCATTTATAAGAGCTTTGGTTCCAGTTTTCTCTTTTTTTTTTCACTTTTCCTTTCATTTCTCTCCCCTCCTCCCCATTTAAACATTTTCTTCATAAGAAGATATTCTTTTTAATGAGTATGATATTCCAATGTATTATAAATGTTTGAGTATTGATGGACTTTTTGGTTGTTCCCAATATTTTATTCTTACAAGTCACATTGCAATGAACATACTTGTACATTTAATGAGATTATGTGTACAGGGTTAGTTCCTACAGTGGAATTGCTGGATCAGAAGGTATTTTTCACTTGCAGTTGTATAGATACTGCAGAATTTTCCACCAGAAAATTGTGTCCTGTGTACTTCCACATTTAATGTGATTATTTACCAGACCCATGCCAATCCTGGTTGCTAAACTTTTTAAGGTTGATCACTTGAAAATGAATGAATGAAGATTGAATGTCTTTTAATGGAAATGTTACACATCTTATGTTTATTGGTTAATGATATTTTCTGTGAAGTATGATCATGTTGTTTTCCAGTAAGTGATTTTTAATGTGTATGAGCTTTGTGAAAGCTAAGAAAATTAGTCCGTTGTGATTTGTTTTATAATATTTTCTCAGCTTCATTTACTTATGTAGTTATATTTATCGGTCTATAGGGCTTCTAGGATTTTTGCCATGCTGAGAAAAGGCCTTTACATGTCAGAATAAACTTAGCATATTTTTTCCAGCATTCTCAAGGTTATTTTTTAACCTTTAAATCATTATTTCAAATATATATAGTGGGAATTAAGGAAGGATTCAATGTTTTTCTTCCCTAAAGAGGTCTCTGGTTATTCCAATCCCAGCTGCTGATTTTCCACATTGATTGAAAAAGCCATTTCCACTCCTTCTTTGAGTTTCCAAACATATTTTTAGTTGCTGTGCACTGTCTTATTTGGTATTACTAGTCCATCATTTCCAAACCAGTTTTCATTATCATTGTGTCCAAATCTAAAATCATATTGATATTTTGCCTAGAATTCTATTTTGAAAAACTTCAGCCTTCCATGTAGAGTCACCATTCTTAACATTTTTCTGGTTGCCTTTTCTTCCTCCAGATACACTTTTTCCTCTCCTTAGTAATTTGAGATAAATTGCAGATGTTAGCAAAATGCTTCATGGCATCCCTACATATGACAGCATGCCTCTCTTCCAAGAGTGAAAAATGTCCTCCTATTTGACCATACAGTATTCTCCCAACTAAAACCAATCTACCATCCAATATTACTTCATATTCAGATTTCTCCATGTGTCCCCAGAATAGCTTTTATAGCTGCTTCCCCAAGGTTCATGAATTACATGGACCAATGTGTCTCTTCACCAGTCCCTCCACTTCTACTTTAAAATGCCATTTTTCTAAATAAGCGTTTTTCTTAGAACTGTTTTAGAGTACAAACTTAGGAGACAATACAAGAGTTTTCATATATCCGTACCCAGTTTCCTGTATTACTAGCTTGCTCACATAAGACATTTGATATAATCAATGAGCTATATTAATATTATTAACAAAAATCCATACTTCATCTAGATTTCCTTAGATTATACTGAATGCTGATCATGTCTTGGCTCTTCTTGACTATGACATTTTCTTAGATTTTTTTTTATTTTACTGTTGGGTGTTGTTCTTGTTGTTTGTTGAGATAGGGTCTCAGTATGCAGTTCAGGCTAGCCTTGAATTCACTATGTGAGCCAGGCAGGTCTTGAACTCATGGTGATCCTCCTGCCTTAGCCTCTCCTGTTTTTAATTTCAATTTGTTTTATTTTACTTTTGCTTTGGAGATTGAGCCCAACACCTTCACACTGAGCTACATTCCCATCCCTTAAATATTTTTCTTTTTAATTTTGAGACAGGGTTTCCCTGAGTTGCCCAGGCTGGGCTTGAACACAAGATCCTCGTGCTTCTATCTTTCAGACTGCTGTGGATTGTAGGCATCCCACCGATGACTGGCTGATTTTCTCGTTTTTGTTCTTAACTGTTTTAAGGAGTAGGGATTAGGTATTTCACAGAAAGTTCCTCTACTGGGATTGCCTAATATTGTCCCCATTATTAGAGTAGGATTGTACACTTCTAGGGTGAAGAGTGTCGAGATAAACTGCTGTTCTTATTACCTACCAAGGGCACATATGAGTTAAGATAGAAATAACATGGTGAATGTCTAAATAGAGAAATAAATTATTTCAGTAAAGGACATATTGCCATCCACCCTTCTTGAAATACTTGCCATACTTCAAACACACGTCTCAAGTCCGTCTGGCCCGTTTCTGAAGTGGTTCTGGAGGACCTCTTGTGTGTCGTAACAAGGTGTAATAAGAAACAGTGAACGCTGCTACTGAGTCCCATCCAAAAGAAAGGCAGTCTCCTAAAAACATGAGGAGGTGTTCTCCTTTGCCAGATCAGGCACCATGGGATGCCTAGCTGTTCTACAAAATCAAAATGACCACCAAACAATTTGAATTGATTCAGGATATTAAGGCAGTCAGAACAGCAGTACTGCAGACAATTATGAAAGAGGACTTTCAGAACTGTTTCAGAAAGTGGCAAGAAAGATGGGATAAGTGTGTTCAAAATAAGGGGAGATTTTGAGGGGGAATAATGGTCACATGTCTTATTGTAAAATTGTAAAACTTAAACATTCACCCTATTTTTCGATCATACCCTGTGTGCATATCACTGCCGATGTTCACTGTGATCACCTGACTACTGAGGTAGTATTTGTTAGGGTTCTCCGCTCTAAAAATGCATTTTTCCTCTTTCTATATTATACTTTTTGGAAGGAAACTACCATGCATTCATTGGTCCTAGTTAGGGTGCAAGGACATGCTCCACCTCTGAGATATGTTTTTCCTCTCTTGCTTATTAATTTATTCAATCATATATATATATATATATATATATACATGAATTTAGATTCATACATATTTATACTTTAGGTTATTGTGTGGTGCTATTTTATTTTGCTATTGAAATTGTTCTGGTTGCAAACATTGGAAATTCTTTCAGTGGACTTTTGACATACCCCCATCATGTTGGCTATTATTTTAGCACTTCTTTGCTTTC